TGCTAAAATTAGTGAGCAAAACATGATAAAAAACCAAGTATTTACATAATCTCAAAGTATTTTGCAATAAGATACTAATTAACACAAAGGGAAAATTAGTATTTTTATAGTGGAATGACCTGGTGACACTACATCACCTAAGTGATCAAGGTTAACACCACCAGTAAGGACACACAACAAAATCATGTACCTTAACATGCACTGGGAAGAACACAATATCACTTCTGTGTTATCCCTACCAAAAATTCACAATATGAATCTAACCATGAGGAAACTTAAAAAAAAAACCCTATATTGAGGAACATTCTGAAAAATACCTAATCAGTAGACTGTGAAAGTGTCAAGGTCATGAAAGATAAGAAAAGACTGAGAACTGTCACAGACCAGAAAAGACTAAGGAGATAAGGCAACTAAATGCAACATGAGATCCTAGACAAGCTCCTCAACCAGGAAAGGGACATTAGTGGAATAACTGGTGAAATATGAATAAAGTCTGTAGTTGAGTTTATAGTATTGTATTAGTGTCTGTCTCCTAGTTTCAATGATTTTACTATGGTAATACAAAAAGTTAAAATTAGAGGAAACTAAGTAAAAGGTATACAAGAACTCTGTACTAATATTGCCACTTTTCAGTAAGTCAAAAATTATTTCAAAATAAAAAGTTATAAAATTTTCCTCCTTGCCATCTGATGTATTCCATCCAAAGTGAACGAACAACTGAAGGAGTGAAGCAGCTTTCATTATCAACGAAAACATGTTTCTAAGACAACAGACTACTCAGTCCTAAACTCTAGCTACTGATTAACCATTATAGCTGAATACCACCCCTTCTAGAAATCTTTTCCTCATTACACCCAGTCGGCATGGTGATGAGCAAAGAACAGAAGCATGGGAACCAGACAAACGAAATTCTCTCTCTTTTTTGCACATCGTGGGTATATGATCGTAAGTGCCATACTCTCTTAGAGCCCTACTGTTCACATCTGTCAAATTGAGATAATCCCCACCTTGCCATAAAGAATGGTAAAAATTAAATTTCACACTGTTTTTTCATAAAGATTTAATGAGTTAAGGTGTAAAAGTGCCTCTCACAGTGTTGGGTACCTAGCAAATGCTTAATAAGTAGTAACTACTATTTTAATCATTTTTATTGTCATACCAATTGACCTGACCTTTCCTCTTAGAGTCAATGCATTTAAAATTATTGAAACAATTTTTGGTAATTAGAGATTACCTCCTCTATCATACTAGAAACTACTGAATCACTGAAGTAGGAAGCAGCCCATCCAGTTTTGTTGTCATTTGTATCAGTCTGCTCAGGCTGCTATAACAAAATGCCATGCCCATGATGGCTTAAACAAGTGACATTTATTTCTCATAGTTCTGGAGGATGAAAGTCCAAGGTCAAGGTGCCAGCATGGTTGAGTTCTGGTAAGGGCTCCCATCTTGGTTGAAGATGGCCACCTTCTTGCTACATCATCCCATGGCAGAGAGACAAAGCTCTGGTATCTCATCCTCTTCTTATAAGGGCATAATCCCATCTTAGGGGCCCCATAGTTATTATCTCATCTAAACCTAAGCACCTCTCAAAAGCCCCACCTCCAAATACCATCACATTGGCAATTAGGGCTTTGACATGAATTTAGGGGGAACACATTTAATCCATAGCATTGTTATAATCTTTTTAAATTTCAAATACCATTTTACTTAGTACATTTGATTTTAAATTTAGAAATAAAAGCATTTAAAACACATAATACCCTTACTAGAAAAGCTGACTTGTTATTATTTCAGGATACTATTAATGTCTCTTGTATTTTCCTATACAGATAATATGTATTACAAATATTATGAATTATACTGAATATATAATGTGTTTTTTCACTTAGCATTTGCACCAATATACTTATAGACTTAGGAAAGATAGTAAATTTACAATTTTTAACTCTGTTTTATATTTCATCAAAGCATGCACTATAGTATTAACTAATCCTCTATTGCTCAATATGTTATGGTTTGCTTCATCCAATATCATTCTTATAAAGAATGTTACAATGTGCTGGAAAATACATAAACAAAGATCTCTACTTTTGAGAGCATTTCCCTATATCAATAAATAGTCTTTAACAATATGCTTCCTAACAATTACATTGTATTTCATTATGTGTTCCATTTTCTTAACTAACTTTCTGTTATTAGATGTAAGGTTCTATCTATGTTTTACTATAAGAAATGACCCTACATCAAAATTCCTTGTAAAAATGGCACTATGAACATCTTTGATTCTTTATTTCAAATGAATTCCTAGAAGTGGAATTGCTGTATCAAAGGCTTCACAACTTTTTAAGGTTTTGATACCTACTGCCAAGTTGTTCTCAGAAAGAAAATATAATTTCAACCCTAACTAGAAGACTATCAAAGTGCCCTTCTCCCTGTCCCTTTACCAATACACATCATCAGTTTAAAAAAAAAAAAAAAACTCTGTTATTTTGATATGCAGAAAATATCTCACTTGTGCCAATATTTTTTTTTTCTTTTAGTTGAGCTAAACATTTTAGTCTCATTGAAATGTGAATTACTTGAACCCATGAAGGGGTTTAAAATATCTTTTGTTTGGTGCTTCATATTTTGATAACAAGTAATATGTGAAAAGAGCTGGAAAAGTATTATTATCTCTATCCCTATTTTTGCAAATAAGGAAGTTGATGCTCAGAAAGTCAAAGCAATTTTCCCAAGGTCAATGAAAGATCAGGCCTTCTAGTGCTCCTCCTAGTTCCCTCCCAACCTGAAGTTGATAAGTAAACACGGAGCTGGTAGGGAATCCAAGGTTTTCCTAGTGCAAATAAAAATGTAACATATATAATTCAGTGGTAGAGTTGGCCCAGCCCTCTCCTCTTCTCTCCTCTCGCCTTTCCCTTCTAGCATTATCTTGGCAAAAGAAAGCAAAGGGAGGAGGAAAGTAAGGCAGCTGGGCTCTGGAGGTCTCCCAAGCATAACTAGAACATATTTTATTCACTTCAGCATTTGGCTCCACAACAGTACTTGAGATGACAGTCTGTGAGGTGCCTTGAGGCCAATCACATGGCCTCCCTACCGATGTCCTATCTAGGTTGCTCCAGCCTCCCTGGTCTCAGCATGTCTCCAGTTTGCCTTTTGCATGGAGATCCAAGAAGAAATGGGCCACTCAAGGGACAGTTGCTTTCCCCTACACCATACAAATATGCTTGTTTCCTAATTTTAGTGTCTGTGTTTTTAAAGATGCAAATGTGCTAATTCTTTTCCATCAAAGTCACATTTGATTTTGTCTTTCTAAAATATTCATGTCCTTCTCTCACACCAAATACTCAGATTTCTGTGGTAAATAGCATCAGCATTCTTTCAAGTGACATAATCTTAAATAACTATCAATTTTACTCTAGAATATATATATATATGCATGCACACATACATATATGTATGCACCCATATATATGTAATATATAGGCATGTGTTCACATGTGTATGTAAAATACACATGATAAATGCCAATTTGGTCATATTAATGAAGGTACTAGATAGGGATCCAGAGGCAGGAGAAAGAAACTAATATTCACAAAGAGACTGCTATGTGCCAGGTACTATAATCATATTATCTTATTTAACCTTCAAAGTAACCCTTGAAATGGGACAAGATGAGGCTGAGCTGGTCTCTCAGACCTACTGGACATATTCACAATTTAGATTCCCTAATCATATAGAATGTCCCCAGTAAATCTGTTATCAGGTGACTTCACTTTGAGTGGTGTTAATTCAGGATGGTTTGCAGTACAGACAAGTAGGTGCAACTTCCTTACAAAACTGCAGTCCAAGGTATGTCCTAGCTCTTATACATTCCAGAAGGTACTGAACAACTGGTGCAATTCAGCATGGGAGAGACAGGCCAGGATGGTTTGTGTAAAGGTGAGAAGATCACACTTCTTACAAAATTTAAGCTGAAGGTATATTCTCAACTCTGTTGTCCAGATTGCCCTGAATGTCTAGAGCAAATCTGCACTGTTGGGAGAAATTCTAGGACTCTAGGATGGCTCAAATGTAAACAGATAGATCCAACTTACAAAATCAAGGTCCAAGATATGTCATTTCTTTTCAGCCTCCTTTATCATGTAGAATGGTTCAGTCAGTAGAGGGGAACAGGCCAGAATGGTTTGCTGTGAAGGCAGATGGATGGAACCCCCCCTCACAAGACATTTTTCCTCTTAAATCTTCCAGATTATATCAAATGTCTCTAGCAAACCTGCATTGAGTAAATTCACACTGGAAGATCTTTCTCAGTGGAGACGAGTAAATTAAACTCCTGAAAACATATGCCTTCAACTCTATCCAATGTCTCAAATAATTCAACATTGGAATTGTCAGGTCTAGCACACCAGGACAGTTGGCATTAAAGACAAGTGAATCGAACCTTTTAAAAGATTGAAGCCTGAGGTATGTCTCAACTCTTCAGATAGGGACCTTGAGAGGCCATTTGCTTCCATCTGCCGTGAAGCCCCAGGTGGCAAATTATTTTTGCACTATGCTTACCTTAGGAAGCTGCCAAGTAACTCTCAAAATCTATAAAGGGCTAGAAATTTCCCAGCTGAGTTTCTAAAGGTAGGCAAACCTATTACAGTGGTCATTGTGATAGCTGAGGAGACTTTGTGCAGGCCCAAGATCACATGCTTATGGGGGTTTCACTGGGTCATAGACCTGGATGGCCAACAGGGGAAATGGTTGAACTGGGCCACTGGGGCCAAAGGGACTTCATTGTTTGTCATCGCAAGAATTTTCTCTCCCCCCCCTCATTTTTTTACTTTTTTAGCTTAATTGAAATTTAATTCACATACCATATAACTCACTATTTAAAGTGAACAATTTAATGTTTTTTAATATATTCACAGAGTTTTCCAACTATTACCACAATCAATTTTAGAACATTTTCATCACCTCAAGAAGAAACCACATACTCTTTATTTTTTTTTTAATTTAGAAGAATCAGATTTTATTTCGTGATGTGAACATTAAGAATTTGCCCACATAGTTGAAAATATTCGCAAAGGATTTGCTCGATCATTTACACTCATTCGCACAGTTTGCCAAATAAAAAATGCTTCTTTACCCATCTAGCCAGCTATCAGGGATGGTGACGTGCTTGCCTATTCCACGGTGGGGCTTCAGTCTTCATGAATGTTGAATAGTTTGGCTACTTCATTGAGATCTTCATATTGCTCACCGTCCTTAATGATCTTCCTTGCTATTAGCATTCTGTTAAAGATGTTCCATAGCACGATCCCCACAACCACTTTGTCCCTGAGGTAGAAGATGACACCTTTGCCGTAGTCCTCCCCTTGGACAGGGGCCTGTGGAATTGCAGGAGTACTGGCAGGAATAGCAATTTCTGAGGCCTCGGATTCTGTCTCACTCTCTGATTGGATACTAGTCCCTGACTGTTCCGTGGCAGATTTTGGGTTGTCTTGTGCGGTTGCTTTTGCAAAAACACCAACTGTGGCCAAACTACTGTCCACAAGACCAATAGCTTCATAGCCAACATCAGGACCCAAATCACTCCAGAACACTGACTGATGCCAGTATGGCTTAGCAGCTCCGGTCATATTTTCTCCAGCCAATCTTCCACTCACAACAGCATGATCGTGGTGCTCTACCCGCCTCCTCCCCAGCTTTATGTCGTAGAAGCATGCAGCATCTCCTGCCACCCAGATGTTAGAGCGTGCTTATAGCTCTGCATTTACCCAGAAGCCACCAAAATCTGAGTCTATTTCCAGCCCACCAGTCTTGGCCAACTCAACATTGGGTTCCAGGCCCACAGCTGCCACGATGTGGTCAGTTTCTACCTTCCTGCCGTCTTTTAGCTTGATGAGTAACTTGCCACCGCTGACTCCAACTGATTGCACAATGGCATCGGGCATCACCTTAACCCCCTCTTGTCTGACTTTTTCCATGGTCCAGTTCCTGAGGTATTCAGGGAGGATCTTTCCCATATTTCCTTTCTCAGGGAAGAGTTGAATCACTTCTGTGCCCAAGGCTTGAGCTTTTCTGCCAAGAGCACAGGCCAGTTCGCTACCAAGGAAGCCCCCATCAATAATCGTAATTGACTTGACTTCCCGTGAAATCTTCTCTATGGCTCTAAAGTCTCCAATCTTTCTGAAAAGTGTTGTTCTGCTCTTCACCTCTGCTCCAGCCCTATCAATGGCAGACAGACTTCTTGGAGTGCCTCCTGTTGCAATCAAGCACTTTTCATAGGTTATTTGAGAGCCATCATTAAGTTTCACCATGTTGTCTCTCACATCCAGCTGTACTACCTTCTTTCCAGTGAGGACAGCCACACCACCATTCTCAATGTGAGGTAGGTCCTGAGCAGAGACATAGAAAGAAGGTGGCTGGAAATATATGCTTCTCTCTTTTCCATTCCACTGTCTGAATCGCAGTGTCTTTGTGACATTTGGATCATCTGAAAACCATAATTCTTTTGAAAGAGGAGGTCTCATGTATGGCAGCTCAGGATCTTCAGATATAATCAGTACCCTGGCCCCAGGATCCCGAGCTCGGATGGATCTAGCTGCAGCAAAAGCAGCAGTGCCTCCACCGATTAGTAGGAAAGGAACATGACTTGGTACCCTGACTTGAGAAATTGGCTCTCCTTCTGCAGAAGATGATGCGGCCCTTTTCTGTTTCTCTTCTGGTGTCAGCCCTAACTCTGATATTCTTTCATTATATCTTTTTTTGTCATCTTTTATAGTCTTGTAGACATATGCACCAGCTCCTATTGTTGACAAGCCCACAATAAGGACTAATACAGAATTATGGATTTTGCCCCCTGATGCACCAGAGCTAGCCATTTGTCTTGTCATCTGGAGTTCTAGAGGAACATGCCATCGCTGGAACAAGTTGCCTGGGAGCCGGTTCCTCTGCCTCGGGCTTCGGACACACACGGTCCGCACCAAGGGCACCAGCTTCTGCTTCAAAGCACCTGCCGCAAGGCCTCCACACCGGAACATTTCGGCAACCGCTACTCTGGACCTCCTCCTTCCTTTTCTTCTTACTCACCGACCGACGGGTCAAACACCATCCACATACTCTTTAGCAGTCAACTTTCCCCAATTCCCTGCAGACCCTCCCACCACTAGGCAACCACTAATCTATTTTCTGTCTCTATAGATTTGCTTATTTTGGACATTTCATATAAATGGAATAATACAATATTTTAAAAGCAACTCTGAAATGTAGCTATCTTCACTTTTATAAAAAATGAGTGCTCAGAGAAGTTAAGTAATTTCCCTGTGGACACACAGATGGAAAGTAGTAAAGCCAGGAAATAAACTTGGGTGTTCCTGGATCTAAAGTCAATGCTATTTTTGTCCTTCCATCCTACATCTTCCAGAAGACCTGGGTTCCATCCCTGCCTTAGCCACTATTTTGCTTTGTGAAATGAAATGATTTAACACATACTTGGTGAGGAATTGTCTGTAGTGATTCAGACACAAGATAGCTTCTGGCTTAAGCAACTGGGTATATAAAGGTTCCATTTATTGAAATGGGGGAAACTGGAGGGAAAGGTAGGTCAAGAGAGACCAAGTAAGTGAATAGCCAAACAAATTCTACAGAAAATAAAACCAAATTGTCACATTCTGAAGATATCCAGAGTACAAAAGTCAAAAACTAAAACATGGAAAAGAAGAGAGAAAGGAAAATAGATATGAAGGGCAGAGCTGACTTAGGCATCATAGGCATTTCTGAGGAAGAAACCAGAATACCTGGAAGACAAACAATGATTAAAAATATAACTAAGGATAACTTTTTTGAGCTAAAGAAAAAGCTAAGCGTATTGGTAAAATGGGTTCCCCAAATTTCAGCCAAAATCAGTGAAAAGATCCATACCTAGATAAAGATGGTGTGTATATGTTTGTGTGTGTGCATGTGTTTGTGTATGTGCATAACATTTTACAAGGAAAAAAGAGGTTAATTATAAAACAATAACTATAAGTCTGGCCTTCTCTGGAGATGTTTTGTTTTTTTTTTTTTTTTCATTTTGCTATTTAGTATTGCAGAATTTTGCTAGGAAAAATTAAGAGCCTAAAGAAAGACCCAAAAGTTGTGGGAAAAAAAGTCTAGCAACCATTGTTATCATCATTAAGAACATATACTCACCAGCAAATTGGTGTTAACTGAACAGCACCTAAGTGGTCACATAGGTACTACAGTAATAGGGTATTGGGCAGGTGGGAGGGGGGAGGAGGGCAGGTATATACATATATAATGAGTGAGATGTGCACCATCTGGGGGATGGTCATGATGGAGACTCAGGCTTGTGGGGGCAGGGGGGAAATGGGCATTTATTAAAACCTTAAAACCTGTACCCCCATAATATACTGAAATAAAAAAAAATAAAATTCATAAAAAAAGAAAAAAAAGAAAAGAACTATCACATTGAGCCCTGGAGAAGCAGTACAGAGTAATGGAAAAACCATCAAACTAGGTGCCCTAAGATCTGCCTTGGAGTGTTGGCCATATGAAATCACTCAATCTCCTTAAGATCTGGTTCCTTTCTATTTAATATCAGGATAATTATACTTTTTCATACTTCTGTTAGAAAAATAAAAGTGATGATTTTTGCTTACTAGGAATTATAAGTTCGCTAGCAGAATCAGCTTAATATTTTTTACTTTCCTTTTTTAAAGTAGGTCTGCTCTGTCCTTTCCTTCTCTATAGACAGAAATGTGTAGTTGAGACAGCATAACACACAGGAACATAAAATTCCTCTTTCTTCCTCTCAAACTACCAGCTTCTTAACGTGACAGCAACACAGCTACAAGCATTTCTCTCTTTCACTGAGAATAGCAACTCTTTTGACAAATTCCTTCAGAATTTGGTCCCAACCTGCTTAGTAAATTGTATCCCCACCCCTCTGAAGAATGAAGCTGCTAGGTCTTCCTTTACATTAATGCTGTTTGATCTACCTTCCATCAGCCACTCTGAATTATGGGACATGGTTCACGCCTGCCATAGTACCTTTGCTAAATGGAATTTGCTTAGCATTGAGGAACAGATCAATGTTTCACTTAAATTCCATGTTTGCTATGACATTTTCCCCAAGGACTGCAGCCATCATTGAAATTCTGTAATATAAGTTTTCCAAACTGTGGTACAAATAATGTGATTGATGGTCAAGTCATACTCTTTAGTTTCTATACTTCCTAATTTGGTTCTGTTCTATTTACTATTTTAGGTATATTTGATTAAATCCCAAAGTTCATTGTTATTCTCTTGGTTGTTAGGAGTAGAGAGGTATGATGTCCAAAAAGAGTTTATAATTACATCAGATAATGTTTAAGTGACAGTGACACTTAAGACAAATCAAGATAGAATATTGAGGCTGAATTCGGTGGCTCACATCTGTAATCCTAGCACTCTGGGAGGCCAAAGAGGGAGGATTGCTTGAGGTCAAGAGTTTGAGACCAGCCTAAGTAAGAGCGAGACCCAGTCTCTACTACAAATAGAAAAAATTAGCCGGGCATGGTGGCACATGCCTGTAGTCCCAGCTACTCAGGAGTCTGAGGCAGGAGGATCACTTGAGCTGAGGAGTTTCAGGTTGCTGTGAAGTAGGTTGATGCCACAGAACTCTAGCCCAGGTGACAGAGTGACACTCTGTCTCAAAACAAACAAAATATATATATATATGAAAAATATTGCATTTGATATATGATCTCAACTGGAAAAATGTACAGAGGAAAGAATGGAACACTGTATGGTGAAATGTTGGCAGTGATTATGACTGGGTGATGGGAATGTAAGTGATTAAATGTATGTATAGATAAAAGAAAGCAATAAAATTCAAATTCCTGCAATGATCAGGTATTACTTTTATAAATTAAAAAAATTAAGGTATATACTTTAGGAGGTAAATATTAGACCCCTATTCCCTAAATATCATATTTCTAAAAGGCAAGTACTTGTTTAAGATTTTATTTTTCATTAATTTTATCAGGAATAAAGAGGTTTATTCCATAATGATTAAGTATAAAATATGTCAGTAAAGTAGCATTACAACCTAAAAATAAGTGACACAAAAATGGCACATTTACAAGGAAAAAATGGTATATCCACAATTATAGCAGAAGAGCTTTTGCACACATCTCTCAAAATGTGACAGATCAATCAGGCAAAAAATTAATACAATCATATAAGATTTGAACCACATAATTAATAAGCTTTATCTAATTGAACTGTATAGAATCCTGCACCCAATTATTAGAGAATACACATTTCTTTCAAGCACACATTGAACATTACAAAATCTGATTACATATTGGCCATAAAGGAACTCCCCAAAATGCCAAAGAAATGCTGTCATAAAGAACACAAGCTCTTTCTAAAGTCCCAAAATGTAATAACAAATGATAACAAAGGAGATAAGGAGGCAGGGAAAGAGGGAGAGAGACTTATCAGCATGTGTGTTCAGAAACTGAAAAAGCAATGTAAATAATTCATAGGTTGAAAAAAATACTGTGATGGGTTTTGAAATATTTTGAACAAAGTAAGCATGGTAAGTACTTAAAAGGTGAATACTTAAATAAATAGCTGCCATATCAACTTTGTGTTCCATCAGTCTGAGTGACTGAGAACTGATTACGTTAGGAGAGACATCATTGACTACTCTCTGTTATCCATATTAGATTTTTTTGCTTTGGTATTCCTCCAAATATCAAAGAGGACCCTGTGATAAAATTTCTGGGGAGAAAATATCACTTTGAATGGTTGAGGATTAAGAGAGATAAAAGAAATAATTGATGAAACAAGGTGGGAGATTTACCAGATAGGGGTAGGACAGGTGCAAGAGGAAGAAGGGGAAGCGGGACTAAAGGATTAGTCTTGGTAGGATAAGAGAGATTGTTTTCTTCTAAGGTGGGAGAGGAATAAAATAAAGATGGATATGGAGAGAAGCACAGAAAGGACTTAAGTTATATAAAAATGTAAATAATCCCAACCTTTGGTTACATGGCAACCTTTGGGTACTAAGTCATTTCTACTAATGCACTTAAAAGCCTATGTTTTCTGTATTTTTATGTATTATTTTTAAGCACATAATACACAAGGCATGTTAAACATGATTTCTCTACATTTATTTAAAGTTAAAAAACAGTCCTCACATTCTAATCTTTTCTCTTCTGTCTGCTTCCCTCGACTCTGTCAAGTCCCTCTTCTCTTTCTTTATATACTCTTCATCCAACCCAGTTCCTATCATTTCCTTCAGTGAAATTGTTCGTTGCACTAGCATTTGCAATCCAAGTACTGTAGACAATGATTTTGTAGAGGAAGTGAAACATTCAACCACATTCAACCACCAGAAGCATCCAGGATGTCTCTACCAAGGCCAGCGACCCAAACATGCTACTTGATCAGGAAGAACAATTCCCACCCCAGCCATGTGAGAGAACGTCTACAATCATTTTGGATGGCAGATGTGTGTCAAACATATGATACAGTGTGACATTCTCCAAAAGAAGCAAACTCTGACTTCCTTCTTTTGAACTGAATAGCAACACCCTTCCAATGGGATACTTTGCAAACAGCTGCAAGCCCTCTAGTGATACTACTTATTAGTTTTGAGCCAGGCACTGTTCCAAGGACTTCAAATTATGAACTCATTCACTCTTCACAAAAACCATGTGAGATTGTCCCTATAATATTAGCTCCATTCTACAAATGAGGAAACTGGGGTGAATTCTGATTTACCTTAGAGTACAGCATATAACTAAATTATTCTAGAATCAAGTTAAAGAATTGGTGTTATGTATAATAAATTTCTAAACCCCTATGGTTTAAATCAGAGCTCATTAATCTTTTCCCATAAAGAGCCAGATAGTAAATATTTTAGGCATTTTAGGCCATATAGTCTCCGTTGCAACCACTCAACTCTGCCATAGTATTTTGAAAGCAGCCTTAGATAGTATATAAACAAATAGGCATCACTGTATTCCAAACTTTATTAATAGACACTTAAATTTAAATTTCATATAATTTTCACATATCACAATATCATTCTTCTTTAGATTTTTTTCAACCATTTAAAAATGTATTCTTAATAATAGCTCATAAGCCATATGAAAATAGGAGGTAGGCTGGATTTGGGTCAAGGGCTATAGTTTATTGGCCTCTGGTCTAAATCAGTTACACA